CCGAGTGTTTGAGGTAGGTCGTTTATATACAACAAGAAAAGAATAGGTCCTAAGACCGATCCTTGTGGTACTCCGGTGCTAACAGGTAGAATGTCGGAATCCTTGCCTTTGATACTTACGTACTGCATCCTGTTCGTAAGATAGGATTTTATCAGTTTATAGCTATTATCCCTTATGCCATAATACTCTATTTTCGTTAATAAAAGTTCGATATTAACGCAGTCGAAGGCCTTTGATAGGTCACACATTGTCGCGTGAGTGCAATACCTATTATCCAGACCTTCGACTACTCGCTCAATTAAAGCGACGACTGCCTTAATTGTTGACTGATTTTGTCTGAAACCAAATTGAGCCGGAGATAAAATTGATTTATTTTCGAGGTAGGAAAGTAATTTGTCTTTAAAAATGATTTCAAAAATTTTTGATATAATAGGGACAATTGCTATGGGACGATAATTATCTGCGTCGTCTGTATTACCTTTCTTATGAACAGGGATCAGCTTTGAAATTTTTAAAGAATTTGGCCAAATACCCTCCTTAATAAATTTATTAAATAAGATAGTAAGTAAATAATAATAATAATAATAATAATAATAATAATAATAATAATAATAATAATAATAATAATAATAATAATAATAATAATAATAATAATAATAATAATAATAATAATAATAATAATAATAATAATAATAATAATAATAATAATAATAATAATAATAATAATAATAATAATAATAATAATAATAATAATAATAATAATAATAATAATAATAATAATAATAATAATAATAATAATAATAATAATAATAATAATAATAATAATAATAATAATAATAATAATAATAATAATAATAATAATAATAATAATAATAATAATAATAATAATAATAATAATAATAATAATAATAATAATAATAATAATAATAATAATAATAATAATAATAATAATAATAATAATAATAATAATAATAATAATAATAATAATAATAATAATAATAATAATAATAATAATAATAATAATAATAATAATAATAATAATAATAATAATAATAATAATAATAATAATAATAATAATAATAATAATAATAATAATAATAATAATAATAATAATAATAATAATAATAATAATAATAATAATAATAATAATAATAATAATAATAATAATAATAATAATAATAATAATAATAATAATAATAATAATAATAATAATAATAATAATAATAATAATAATAATAATAATAATAATAATAATAATAATAATAATAATAATAATAATAATAATAATAATAATAATAATAATAATAATAATAATAATAATAATAATAATAATAATAATAATAATAATAATAATAATAATAATAATAATAATAATAATAATAATAATAATAATAATAATAATAATAATAATAATAATAATAATAATAATAATAATAATAATAATAATAATAATAATAATAATAATAATAATAATAATAATAATAATAATAATAATAATAATAATAATAATAATAATAATAATAATAATAATAATAATAATAATAATAATAATAATAATAATAATAATAATAATAATAATAATAATAATAATAATAATAATAATAATAATAGATAGATATGTTTATTGACTTAATTACATGGTTTTTGTATTTTACGTCACAGTACAATGGTAGTAAACTATTACAGATAAAAATATAATATAAAATATAAGATAAAAATTTAAAAAGACAAATACAAATACAAAATATAAGATAAAAATTTAAAAAGACAAATAAAGTAGATACGAAACAAATACTATTTTGTAAATATAAAAAAGTCTTGAATAGAGTAGAAACAATGCTCCAGTAGGAACTCTATAATAATATATAATAATAATAATAATAATAATAATAATAATAATAATAATAATAATAATAATAATAATAATAATAATAATAATAATAATAATAATAATAATAATAATAATAATAATAATAATAATAATAATAATAATAATAATAATAATAATAATAATAATAATAATAATAATAATAATAATAATAATAATAATAATAATAATAATAATAATAATAATAATAATAATAATAATAATAATAATAATAATAATAATAATAATAATAATAATAATAATAATAATAATAATAATAATAATAATAATAATAATAATAATAATAATAATAATAATAATAATAATAATAATAATAATAATAATAATAATAATAATAATAATAATAATAATAATATCTTTTATTGACTACTTTTACATACGTCTGTTGTACATTTGAAGTCACAATAATAATTCACAAGTTTTACAATAAGACAACAACAAAAAATATTACAAACATAAAGGACAGTTATCAAAATTTAAATATGTTATCATCTGTATTGTTATAAAATAAATTTGTTATCAGTTTCGTTAAAATGTTAAAGTTATAAAATTATACATTTAAAACATTGCACTAAGAGAGAAAAAAATATATATATAAAATAAAATAGACATAATATAAAGCTAAATTAAAATTTAATACAAGTAATTAAAATCAGAGAAAATTTTGTCTTTCTGTGACTCTAAAAAATTCCGCAGTTGAGTAGAAACAGTGCTCCAACAAGAATTCAGTAGCAATTTTTTTAAAACTGTATAATGTTAGGTTTCTTATATTTTTATTCTTATTCTGATGGTGATTTATAAAGAAGTTATATATGCCTACATCGGGTTTGTTATTATGCGTTGTGGCTAATCTTGAGTATGGGATTGCAAAATTTTCCCTGTGCCTTGTGCTATACGTATGTAAATCCATATTTAGTGGTACTTGATAGTTTTTTTTATGTATCCACAGTAAGGTGTCGAGTATATATACACAAGGTAGTGGGAGAATTCTACAAGTCTTGAAGAGAGGTTTGCAGGGAGTGCCATAGGGGACACCAGCAACAATTCTTACCGCAGCCTTTTGACAACTAAAAACCCTTTGTAGAGCACTGGTTCTACCCCAAAGCAGAGTACCATATTGTAAGTGGCTGTGAACTAGAGCAAAGTATACCGACCTACACGCGTTTCTGTTTAGACAATAACTTATTCTACGCAGAACAAATGTTTGTGAAGACAATTTAGCACAGAGAGAATTTACATGTGCAACCCAGTTTAAATTACTGTCAAGAGTAACACCCAGTAATTTTACAGGTTCGGATTTAGTTACCCATTTATCTAAGCTAAACAAAATATTATTAGTCTTACTTTCATTCAGTTTTAATTTATTAGCCGTAAACCAGTTTTTTGCCAACTCCAAATGTTCATGACCTGTTATAGAGCCCGTTCTTGATAATAGTGTTGTATCGTCTGCATACAAAATGCAGTCATCCAAGCCGAGTGTTTGAGGTAGGTCGTTTATATACAACAAGAAAAGAATAGGTCCTAAGACCGATCCTTGTGGTACTCCGGTGCTAACAGGTAGAATGTCGGAATCCTTGCCTTTGATACTTACGTACTGCATCCTGTTCGTAAGATAGGATTTTATCAGTTTATAGCTATTATCCCTTATGCCATAATACTCTATTTTCGTTAATAAAAGTTCGATATTAACGCAGTCGAAGGCCTTTGATAGGTCACACATTGTCGCGTGAGTGCAATACCTATTATCCAGACCTTCGACTACTCGCTCAATTAAAGCGACGACTGCCTTAATTGTTGACTGATTTTGTCTGAAACCAAATTGAGCCGGAGATAAAATTGATTTATTTTCGAGGTAGGAAAGTAATTTGTCTTTAAAAATGATTTCAAAAATTTTTGATATAATAGGGACAATTGCTATGGGACGATAATTATCTGCGTCGTCTGTATTACCTTTCTTATGAACAGGGATCAGCTTTGAAATTTTTAAAGAATTTGGCCAAATACCCTCCTTAATAAATTTATTAAATAAGATAGTAAGTAAATAATAATAATAATAATAATAATAATAATAATAATAATAATAATAATAATAATAATAATAATAATAATAATAATAATAATAATAATAATAATAATAATAATAATAATAATAATAATAATAATAATAATAATAATAATAATAATAATAATAATAATAATAATAATAATAATAATAATAATAATAATAATAATAATAATAATAATAATAATAATAATAATAATAATAATAATAATAATAATAATAATAATAATAATAATAATAATAATAATAATAATAATAATAATAATAATAATAATAATAATAATAATAATAATAATAATAATAATAATAATAATAATAATAATAATAATAATAATAATAATAATAATAATAATAATAATAATAATAATAATAATAATAATAATAATAATAATAATAATAATAATAATAATAATAATAATAATAATAATAATAATAATAATAATAATAATAATAATAATAATAATAATAATAATAATAATAATAATAATAATAATAATAATAATAATAATAATAATAATAATAATAATAATAATAATAATAATAATAATAATAATAATAATAATAATAATAATAATAATAATAATAATAATAATAATAATAATAATAATAATAATAATAATAATAATAATAATAATAATAATAATAATAATAATAATAATAATAATAATAATAATAATAATAATAATAATAATAATAATAATAATAATAATAATAATAATAATCTGGTGTGGAGTTGCCAATCTCCCATCCAGCGCGTCCCCGGGTGGTGGATAGGGGAAGGCTTCCCAAATATGGGTGGTACCGATGAAATCAAATAGTCGGCGCGAACCAAAATTGGCACTAAGGAGTAAACCTTGGAAAAAATCTCCCAACGCTAAGCTGTAGACCGCGGCGAGGGTGTGCGTGACTCCGGGAAAGAGGAGCCACAAACGGTCCCCCGGCATCATGGCGAGGGTGTGCGGGACGTAGGCTATTCATAGCAAGGCCTTGACGGGGTAAGGGCGCACTGCCTCGTTTGACTATTATTTCGTCCCAACTCGTGGGAATCTAATGAACAACATTCAAATTAATCAAAATCAAGCTAGGAGTAGCAACAACGACAAAGAAAATGAGGAAGGTGTTAACACGAAACAAAATCTGTCAGATAAAGATATTGAAAAAAAAAAAGAAACAGAAAAAGAAGAAACAGAAAAAGCATTTAATAGAAGCCAAAAAGTAGGAAGAACACCACCTCAAGTAAAAATCGATAGACAGAAGGAGGAAGATAAAGACAGATTTATATCTGCATCGGGAACACCTGTGCTTAACTCGGCAGGCGAAGAGAACATAAGTAAGGATGAAGAGATTTTCTCTAAATCAACAACCGACCAGCTAGAAGGAACTAATCACATTCTAAAAAATACAGCAGAGGACAACGATGTAGATGACTGGTTGGGGTGCATAGACCTAGAGGAGCAGCAAGTGTTAGAAGGTAAAGAAGAAAAAGTAAAAAAAGATAACAAAAAAAGAGGCAGAAAAGGATCGACACCGGAAAACATATACAAACGTAGCAAAGGGGAAACGGTCAAAGAACAAGAATTCAGCAATTTTTTGAAATTGTATAGGAAAATGGAAAGGTGTGCTGACAACCTAATGAGCCTAATTGAACAACATATATACACGAAAAATATTGTCAAAGATGCAGTTAAAGAACTATATGGATACAAGAATAAAACAAAGAAAATAGTGGAGACATGGACAGAGCTACCAGAAAAGACCATGACTTCAAATGCAAGCGTACAGACGCAGCAGCAGAAAAGAATTAATCTGAAGACGTTAACAAAAACTCTACATGTAAACGAATTTATTCCTGAAAAACAAACAAAGGAAATAGGGGTGCAGGTCAATTTCGATATGGAAGAGGAAACAATAAAAAATAGAGAGGAACTTCTAGAACAAGTAGCAGATAAAACCGCAAACTGGAACGTCATGGAGCAAATTATATCCAAACAATGGAGCGAAGAGGTATATGTTAACACAGTAATAGAAATCGGAAATCCAACTAAGCAACCGGAAAAACAGGACTTGGCAGTTATTTTCGACCCAGATAAAGAAAACCATAAATTTAACATTACAGAGGAAAAACACATAGACGAAATAATACAAAACAAACTAATTGGAAAAGGTAAAACAGCATGCCTTACGAGCAGAAAAGACCTTGAAATTACAGGAGAAAATTCAGGTACCACCCAAGAAATGTGCACATACTTTATAGGAGCAGACGTATCAGAAGGCTTGGAACCATCACTTTTACAAGCATGTAACAAATTAAAAGAACTTATGAGCTTCAAAAAGAGAGATCAGGCAGCAATCATATGTGACGCAGAGCTGTTGACTGAGAAATCAAGGAAGATTGTGGAGTGCGCCTTCGCAGAAACAAATGTAAAACTAACCTTATTTGATTTAGGGGTACTCAAAAAAACAAATAACACGGAAGGGTGGAGTCTAAAAGAGAAGAAAACAATAAAAAATTACAACACGAACGCATTAATTATACAGGCGAAGGGAAAATCTTACGCAGACTTATTAAGAGAGGTTAAAGGTAAAGTCGATGCAAAAGACGTTAAAGACGCAGTGAGAGATCTCAAGAAGACTCGGAATGGGGACCTTCTTATAACGCTTAAAAAAGAAGAAGATGCAATAAAACTCCAGGAAATAATAACTAAAAAATTAAACAATCAGGACATAAGACAAGCAGGCAAGCTGTATACGACTGTTTACATAAATGACCTTGATGCCGTAATATCCCGGGAAGAAATAAAAGAAGCAATAGGAAGGGAAGTCGGAATGGAAGGCTTTGAAATAAAAGCTCTGAAAGAAGTTTACGGAGGTAGACAAGTAGCAACAGTTATTATGGAGGACAACAAAGCACAAAAGCTGTTGGAAATAGGAACAATAAAAGTTAGCTGGTCCAGCTGCCGCGTTCGCGAAAAGGTGGTGTTTGAAATATGTTTTAAATGTTGGAGGTACGGACACAGAGCTCAAAATTGTAGAGGTCCCGATAGGGAAGACCGCTGCAAAAAATGCGGTGGCTATGGTCACAAAATGCCAGATTGTAAGAGCGACACCGAGTATTGCTGGACATGTGAGAACGAAGGACACAGAGATTTTCAATGCCCGAAATATAAAAAAGATCTACGGCAGGAGATAAGGAAAACATACTACTAAAGTACTTTCACCTCTATAACTTTACACATATATACATATTTCTACTTATATTTTCTACATATTTTAATTGTCTGTTTAAGTAACTTTTGCCGTCGACATATTCACTTGTTTTTGTCTAATTTATTTATCTATTTAGTTATTACATTTAGTTTACTTACCCTCTATCACAAAACTGATACTTACATGAAAATCCTCCAAATAAACCTCGGTCGATCCAGAGCAGCACATGATTTAGCTTATCAAACTGCAATAAATCTTAAGGCGGATATTATTTTGGCGTCTGAACCAAATAAGAAAATTGTTGAAAATCCAAGATGGTTAGTTGATACACGTAAAGATAGCGCTATATTATGCCTAAACAAAAATATAAAAGCCTCGAGTCATAAGATTGGCAACAGCTACGTTAAACTAACTCTTAAAGAAGTAACAATCTTCAGTTGTTATGTTTCACCAAACCTCCCAAATGATGAATATAGTCGCAGAATAGATGCTATTATGGACGAAGTAATGAAATCCGGAAGAAAAGTCATCGTCGCAGGAGACCTAAACGCGAAATCTCCCTTATGGGGTGCCCCACGCACAGATCCAAGAGGAGAAATACTCTCGGAATGGCTAGCGAGCCTGGATCTTGAAGTTGCCAATCAAGGGGACGAACCAACTTTTGTACGAGGGGAAACAAGATCACATATCGATGTAACAATAACAACACATAACACTCTTAGACACATTACAAACTGGAAAGTCCTAGACGATGAAAGCTTAAGCCTTCATAAATATATAGCCTACGAAATAAAAAATGTTATAACTCGAAAAAAATATCAAGAACCAGGCACACCATGGTTTAATAAAAATGAATTCAGAAACTCAATAAATGAGACTAGGAATCAAATAGATACTAGAAATCCAGAGAGCTTCTTTTCAGTAGTTAAGAAAGCACATGTAAAAATAACGTTTGACCAGGGCAAGAACTAACAACGCGAACGCAACTGTACAAGAGATTGAAAACTTAGAAAGGTCACTGAAGAATAGCCGGAAAACACTAAGGAAGCAAATAACCAAATCCAAAAGGGATTGCTGGACAAATCTTTGCACAGATTTAGAAAATGACATCTGGGGGGAGGGTTACAGAATTGTCGTAAAGAGACTAAAAAAACCAGAGGCTCCTTATAGCTTGTTGGACGAAGAAAAAAGATCAATAATAAGAAGACTGTTCCCCATTAGCGATGAGGTACACGAAATCAGAGCTCCTGATGAGAACATAAATCTTTTTACCGAATCTGAAATTCAAAGGGCAGGTGAGATATTAAAAGCCAGAAAAGCGCCGGGACCTGACGGCATAATTTCAGAAAGCGTTAAAGAGGTTATAAAATGGGATTGCGAACTGGTCAAAGAAATTATGAACATCATACTAAAAAACCAAGGCCTGCCTAAGGCGTGGAAAACAACCAAGGTCATACTCATTCCAAAAGGGAAAGTAGATAGCGAAGGAAAACCAACTTTCCGACCAATCTGTCTCATAGACACGTTTGGTAAATTATTCGAAATAATGATTAGAGATAGATTGGAAGAAGAGTTGAGGGAAAAAGGAGGACTCTCTGAAAGACAGTTTGGATTTCGGAAGGAAAAATCTACCATACAGGCCTTGGAATATGTGACCGAAAAACTTAAAAATGGGAAATGGTCCTCTCTAATCGCCATAGATGTCCAAAATGCATTTAATACCGCCTCTTGGGGAAGAATTATTCATAGGCTAGAAGAAATCGGTATAAGTAATTATATCATTCGACTGGTAGAAGACTACTTTAAAGATAGAAAGCTTTTAATCACCAAACAAGAGATGCTGGATGTATACATGGGAGTTCCGCAGGGGTCAGTTATCGGCCCTACACTGTGGAATGTAATGTATAATACAGTGTTAGAAATGCAACTACCAGAAGGTTGTTACTCAGCGGGTTATGCCGACGATTTTGCTCTTATTATAACAGCAAATACATCACAGCAGTTGATAACTAAAGCAAATGAATCTTTACAACGGATCGCAGAATGGATGCAAAATAATAATTTAAAGGTGGCCCCCGAAAAGACCGAAGCTATCATAGTAAATGGTAAACGAGATAGAAGACTTGTCACTTTCCAGATGGAAAATACAACTATAAACCCTGTTAGTAACATGAAATATCTCGGTATCTGGATTGATGACAGGCTGAACTATAAAGCACACGTAGAAAAGGTAGTAGAAAAGTCAAACAAAGTAGCAAGCAACCTTCAAAAAATAATGCCAAATGTTAATGGTCCAAGTTACTGTAAGAGACGTTTGCTAAATGGTGTATTTAATTCCACAGTGTTATATGGGGCATCAATCTGGCAAGGTGGATTACAGTTTGCGAAGTATAGAGATATGTTGGAAAAAACACAAAGAAAGATGTTGCTAAAGATCTGCTCAGCATATAAAACGGTATCGACTAAAGCTCTCCAAGCCATTACGGGCGAACTACCTATGAGTCTGCTGGTGAGAGAAAGATCATTAAACTGGGAGTATAGAGAGGAAAATGAGACCGAAAGAAGACCTAGGATCAGAGCACAACTGATTAGAGAGTGGCAAGAGTCGTGGAACAGGGAGTCATCTGTGGCTCAATGGACTAAACGACTAATCCAAGACCTAGACTCATGGGTTGGATGCAAGCATCGTAAATTAAATTACCATTTGACACAAATGTTCTCAGGTCATGGAGTTTTTAAAAAATATGCCCATAGATTTAAAAAAAGTCGAACAGTCAATTGTCTCTACTGTGAAGATGAGGTAGATGATGTAGAACATACAATTTTTGAATGTGAAAAATGGAAAGAAAAAAGAGACAGGTTATCCTATCAAATTGGCGTAGTTGCAACCCCAGAAAATATTGTCGCAAACATGATAAGGAACGAAAAAAACTGGTGGGCTGTTAATAGGTTCGTTACCGATATAATGTGCAAAAAAGAAGAAGATGAACGAAATTTCCAAATAAGAGAAAATATAAACAATATATAGTCAGCGCCAGTCACTGAAGACGATATCAACTCAGATGGTTCCGGTGACTTGGTGTGTAGAGAGGGTGAGTGTTTAGTGGGTAGGGGTCCGGACCGAGTCCCACACAACCGTGCTGGGCATACAGACGGCGTGCGTAAAAGCATTTCAACACCCTCAAAAAAAAAAAAAAAAATAATAATAATAATAATAATAATAATAATAATAATAATAATAATAATAATAATAATAATAATAATAATAATAATAATAATAATAATAATAATAATAATAATAATAATAATAATAATAATAATAATAATAATAATAATAATAATAATAATAATAATAATAATAATAATAATAATAATAATAATAATAATAATAATAATAATAATAATAATAATAATAATAATAATAATAATAATAATAATAATAATAATAATAATAATAATAATAATAATAATAATAATAATAATAATAATAATAATAATAATAATAATAATAATAATAATAATAATAATAATAATAATAATAATAATAATAATAATAATAATAATAATAATAATAATAATAATAATAATAATAATAATAATAATAATAATAATAAATAATAATAATAATAATAATAATAATAATAATAATAATAATAATAATAATAATAATATTAATAATAATAATAATAATAATAATAATAATAATAATAATAATAATAATAATAATAATAATAATAATAATAATAATAATAATAATAATAATAATAATAATAATAATAATAATAATAATAATAATAATAATAATAATAATAATAATAATAATAATAATAATAATAATAATATTAATAATAATAATAATAATAATAATAATAATAATAATAATAATAATAATAATAATAATAATAATAATAATAATAATAATAATAATAATAATAATAATAATAATAATAATAATAATAATAATAATAATAATAATAATAATAATAATAATAATAATAATAATAATAATAATAATACCCCTAATAATAATAAAACCCTATGTCGACTCTAAGGCCTCGAATGGATGGTTAGGACGAGCCGACATATTTGCAGAGACAGAGGGATTCATGATAGCGATCCAAGACCAAGTTATTGCCACCAAAAACTACCTTAAGTACATAATAAGGGCTCAAGTGGAAAATGACTTGTGCAGAAAATGTCATCAACAATCCGAGACCATCCAACACATAACAAGCGCTTGCCCAATACTAGTGCCAAGGGAATATCTCTCGAGACACAATCAGGTAGCTAAGATTGTCCATCAAAGTTTGGCTTGCTTACATGGCCTCCTGAGCGAAGAGATACCATATTACAAGTACGAGCCTAGTCCTGTCTTGGAAAACTCTACGCATAAGTTGTACTGGGATAGGTCGGTACTAACAGACCGTACTATAGTCCACAATAGGCCAGACATCATCATCGTTGATAAATCAAGAAAACGAGTTTTGTTAATTGACATAGGAATCCCAAATGGTCACAACATCTTGACTTACTACGCTGAGAAGGAAGCAAAGTACCAGAGACTTGGGCAGGAAATTCAACAAATGTGGCGCCAGGAGAGTGTGTCTGTAGTCCCGTTGATTATATCTTCCACCGGTATAGTACCAAAGTCACTCACTAACAATCTGAGGATGCTGGAAATTGCCAATAAATTAGCGATTATCCAAAAGGCAGTGATACTATCCACTACCTCTATTGTACGCACATTCCTAAACGTTTCTATATAATTAAAATGCAAGAATCTTGCCATGGCCGATCTTGCATTTGTCCCACCTATCCTAGAGATAGTGATACCAAAACATAATAATAATAATAATAATAATAATAATAATAATAATAATAATAATAATAATAATAATAATAATAATAATAATAATAATAATAATAATAATAATAATAATAATAATAATAATAATAATAATATTATATATAATTTATGACAAAACATCACTATCGATTCT